CGAGAGGCTGAGATCTCCCCCCAGGACCTCATTTCCCAGGCTCTGGTGCCGTCTGTCCCCAGCTGCACCAGCACCAACGGCCCCCTCGGGAGCTTGCCGGCCGTGGCCGCAGGCGGACCCGCGCGGCCCTTACCTGTGTACAGAGAGATGTAGGAGGAGTCGATCACTTCGAACTTCAAGCTGGGGAGGAAAACTCGCCACTAGGAAAAAAGGAAAGGAGATGGAGAATGAGTGGGAGGGTGACAGGGGTTCAGGATGCAGCTGCCCAACGCCAGGCGCCCTGGGATGGGTCCTCCCCTGTCCTCAGCTCCCAGCAGCCTGCCCGCACCGATCCCAGCCCCGACCCCGCAGGAGAGAAACAAGGGAGAGGCTGATCCTGCCCCAGCGCAGACCCAGGCCCCCCTCCTGCCTTTACCCAAGGCGGTGCGGGATCAGCCGGCATCCCCTGCGCGGCCGGAGAGGGGAAGGCTCCTGGAGGTGGGACGCAGCCCCAGGCTGCTCCCCTCTCGGGACTGCCACACGGCCACCCGCGGTCCTCCTGCGCCAGGCGGGCCCGATCCTGCCCCGCGTCTGCAGCGGCACCCGCACCCCCCTGGGAAGCAGCACCGCCACGCGTCCTGCCTCGCAGGGGAGGGACGATGCCGGGGCGCGGGGCAGCTTCTCCCCACGCGCCCCTTCAGCCTGGGGGAACGGAGCAGGGCGGCCACGGCACCCATCAAGGACCTGAGCCAAAGCCAACAGGCACCGAGCCCCGCACCACCGAGCCCGACACCTCCTCTCCTTCCCGCGGGAACGCACATTGACAGCAGACGTGTTTGCCCTGACTTAAGGGGGTCTTCATGGCCGCCTGCACCCGTTTAACTACGTGCTTTCTAAAAGCATGTCATGAGCCTTTGTCTGGACAAGCCCCTAAATACCCACAGGCAGAGACGCATTAGGGTCCTGCTTTTTTGTTGTCTTGTTTCTTTCTCAACATCTGAAAGGCTTCCCTCCCTCCAGCAAGAAAATGTCTCCCTCATCCATTTGTTTTCCACAGCAGAAACGCAGATCTTATCGGGATGGACCAAGATGGAGCCCCGGGAGGGTGAGGCTGAGCGATGGGGAGGAGAGAGCCAGCGAGGAACGGGTGTTGTCAGCCTCCCTGATGCTTTGCTGGCACAAGTTTGACTCCAGTGATTAATGACTGCTTGGGAGAAAGGAAACCTTTGCTAACGAGCCAACATCTTCCCCTCCCAAAGGCAGCCCCAGCTCCTGACACACACGCTCCAGGCTTTGCCAGGGTGGTGCAGCCAAGACAGACAAGTTTGGATTTGAAACTCATGGTATCTCCAAAGGAGGGAAGAAAAAAGGGACCCACTCCATCACCTCGGCCATCTCTCCCACCACCGACCCTGGGATGCAAGCCGGGAAGGCGGGCTGCCACTCGCAGGTGCTGTCCTGGCACCCGCCTGCTCTGGTCTTACGTGGTCTGGGCTCTCCTTGCCCACGGCAATAGGCTCCTCTGAGGAGAAGCCCACGGGGGACCCTTCCCCTCCGCCAGCCCTTCTGCAGGAGGCCAAGGAGAAAGGAGAAGGGGCGGGACTGGCCACGCAGAGCCGGGTGAGCGGGCCGTCCGCCCCGTCAGCATCCGTTACGGGAGCACATCGGCAAGGCGGGAGCACAGGGGAGGGACAGCAGGGCCTTCGGCTCCCGAAAGGCCATCGGCACGAAAGGATCGGATAAGCACAGAGAAAAGCAGCCCGTGCCAGGCGTCCTGCGCAGGAACAGCCCCGGGAGATGGGGAGGGGAGCCCCAGCTCCGTCGGAGCCACGCTGACTCGTCCCCTCTCGTTGGCAGCCCCGGGAGGGGGGAAATCGCGGCTTTGCTCCAGGAGAAGGCATTTTAACGCGCATCGGGAAAAGCCCCGGCGCCGGCTCCTGACAGGACAAGCCTTGAAAGGAGCGCGGGGTGGGGACATTCACTCACACCAACTTCCACGTGGTCTGAACCTCGGTCGTCTTGTTTGTGGAGCAGCTCGAAGTAGTAGCGTCTGGAGGACATGAGGCTGCGCAAGGGGGGAGAAGCCGGTTAGAAACCATTGCTGAGCTGACTGCTACCGCTGCCAGGGCGAGGGGAGCTCCCCCGCTAGAGGAGCCACCTTGGGAAACCCTCTCTGTCTCGCTCATACGCGGCTAAACCTCCCTGGGGCAAGGAGACAGGCAGCGTGACACAGGTATCTGCTCTCCCACCCCACTGCTGAGAAGCTTCACGAGATCAGGGGGATCCCCCATCCCCACCTCATCACCTGCAGAGGTGGCTGCGGCCCCCAGCGCCTTCCAGCCATGGGCCTGGGGGCATGGTTGGTTGGGCTCCTGCCCAGCCCAGACCCCACGTGCCTTTCGGGAAGAGACCACGGCTGGGGTCTCCTCCCAGGAGCTGGTCAGAGTCAGCACGGAGCCAGCCAACTCCCAACTCCATCCACCTGGGACAGGCAGCGGGAGCCAGGACACACTTACCGTAGAGGCTTGGAGACCTGTGAGCTGAATTTGGTGAACTCCCCCGGCGCCGTCCACTCAGTACCCAGCTGGGGGAAGGAAGGAGGAGTGTGTGAGAGCGCCGGGGACACCGCGAGCCAAGCGGGCACGAGGCCCAGACGCCACCAGGCTGTGTGAATCTCCCCTCCACCCCCATGAGGCACTACACCATGCTGCAGAAAGGCTCTTCAGGCAGGAGGATATCCCAGGAGCTCTGTCCCAGGGCCTGCTTGTCCCCAGCTGGTGGCACTCCTGCCGCAAGAACTTGTCACCGGCCAACAACACCAAGGTCCCAAAATGCATGGGTGCGATGACGGGCCATGGGGTTTCCAGTTATAGGAGTTAACACCAAGAAAATCCAGGAGCAAATATTAAATCTCCTATTCTGGGCCATAAGCTGGTCTCTGGTAGCTCCTACTAGGATGGGGCTGAGGGGCAGATGGTCCTTCAGAAGCCAAATCAGGCCTGGCCAGGGGCAGAGATGGGACGAGGCTGACGCAGCCCAGCATTTACCAAGGGGGCAAAGAACAGGAGAGCTGCCTCTGGCAAATCACACACGGACCCTGCACACGCCCTTGGAGAGCTGCTGCAGCAGAGGGACTTGTAGGAAGGAGAATCCGCAGTGGCTACAGAGCGCCCGTGGGTTTGCAACGTCGTTAACTGAGCACTCGGGAGCCCCAGAAGGCACTCGGGATGGTTACCAGCACGCTGGGAGCAAGGAGCCGGGCACCCCGAGGGAGGAGACGCTCTCGGTGGGAGCTTGAGCATCCCCGGCCTGGGGAAAGGCAGAGGGTCGAGGACGGCGGCGTGTACCTTGCCCACGAACGCAGCCAGCCGGGAGTTGGACGGACTGTCGTCGGAGCTGAGCCAGAACTCGGAATTGTCATCCGATGCCACGGAAAACTGGAAATCCCCTGGGGGAAGCAAGGGAGAAGGTCACCACAGAGGGATACAGCAGTCCCAGTGGCATGGGCCAGTCTCCGTTGTGAGATGGGGAAACAGGGATGGACAGATGGAGGTGATGGGGCCACCCTGGACCCTACGTTGTGCCTGTGTCCTAGGTAGGATCGGGGCTTCACCTCCCTTTGAAGCAACCACAGAAAAGGGTCTTTGCTCCAGAAAGACCCTCCTGCCTGGGAGCCAGGGGTTTGGGGACTGTCTCTAAGAGCCTTTCTGTCCTCGCCCGGCCCAAGAAGGGAGAAGGAGGCAGCTTCTCCGCGTTGGTGCAGGGGAAGAAGAGGCCAAGCTCCATCACTCACCATCCTTGAAAGGGTGGATGTAGCCAAAAATCCTCAGGCCATAGTTCTTCCACTTGGGCGACACAGCCAGCTTCTTCACTGTGGTGCGGGTCTGCCGAGGAGAGACACAGACGTGAAAGCACAAACGCTTCGTGCCCAAGCTCGTGCCTTGCACCAACATCACCCAGCCCACCTGCTCCTTGTCATCCCAGGGTCCTGGGCCCCTAGAACCAGAGGGGACGTGAAGGTCCCATCACCACCCACCTCTCCCTCCATCCCTGCTCTGCTGGGAATTACCTGCCCTGAACCAACCCTAACAGCCTGCAAGCAAAGGTCTTGAGGACCAAGCCCACAGCCAGCGGAGAACCAGCAGCACCCAGAGAGGGACGAGCGGACCCTCCCTCCGACCCACCGCCATCAGGCCCGGGACTCACGTGGGGAAAGAGCGGAAAATGGAGGTTCTTCCTCAGGTGCCTGACGGCCCCCCCGCACCAGTCTTCGAAGACGTGCAGGTTTGCCTTCCCTTTGTACTGCGGGATGAGAGAGGGAGATGAGCGGGGTGTCCTCCCCACGTCCCCCCTCGCCTCCCAAGGACAGCGTGACGTGGATGTCGAGCCCTAGGGATGTCACCCACCCAGCCTCAGCTCCTCTGCAGTGACACGGGGGAAGGGCTGAGCTCCCATCCCTGGGCCAGCCCCAGGGTCACAACACCAGCTCCCGGGAGACAACCCTCCCGCCGCTGCTCCTTGGGGTCCCAAGGGCACTTGGACAAGGGATGTTGTCTGGATACGGCACCAAAAGCCCGACCCCATCCTTCCCACACGCCCAGCGTCCCCCCCACCAGCACACAGCCAGCTCCAGGAGTCGGGCGCAGCGTGGGCCCATCTGGAGGAGACAGGCAGCGAGATGTCCCCTGGCAGCCACGCACGGACCGATGAGGGGGCTGACGCACACCCACAGCACGCACCCGAGGAGCTCATCCTCAGGGGCACCACACCGACCCCGGGACCGGTCAGAGCCCCCGGGACAGGCGATGGGGAGCAGGGAGCAGGATGGCTGGAGATGGCTTTGGAGCTCGGCATGCTGGGGGAACATGGGCTGCGGGCTCCCCAACAAGGGGCTGGGTGGACGTCCTCCTGGAACCTCCTCCTCCACCACCACCCCCTTTGCTGCTCTCTGCCCACCTACCTGCTCGTTCCAGGGCAAAGCCTGCTTGGTCAGGTTGAGTTTGGGGTGCGTGGTGGCTCGGTCAGACCGTTGGCCTCTGGAAGACCAGCCGTCCAAGTCCTGCCCGTCGTTCTGCCGAGGAAGCAGGAGGGAGACATGAGAGATGGGGGCGGGGGGGGGAATCAGGGCCAGCCCAGCCGTGCTTGCAGGAGGTCTCCCTAGATCTAAACATCCCATTTTGGATGTCAAGTGTTGCCAAACCAAGGCAAAACCTTTCAAGGCTAATGGCAAAGGAAAGCAGGGGCAGGAGGAGGCAGAAAAATATTGGCAAGGTGTCCTGGGGAGCAGAGTTTCAAAATGTTCCAGCTAAACTCACTTCCCTTCCTCTGCCAAGGAGAGAAACTCCTCCAAAACAGGTTTTCTTTTCACCGGAAGTCCCCAGCCGGTCTGATGGACTACTGGAAACGGAGTATTTTGGGCTCCAACTCCAGAAGAGCAGAAGCAATCTCTGTGTCCGCTCACAGGCAGAGGAAGAGGGATATTTCTCCGCTCCCCCTCTTCCTTTAAAGAGGATTAGGTTAATCTGATGGCTTGTGGCTCAAAATTTAGGGGGATTAGGTGAGCATTCACCCGCCCCCCAGCTTGCTGAAAAGGTGATGGGTGGCAAGGAAGAGCCAGGCACTTCTGGAGCCCACCCGGAGCATCCTCCCC